CCTTTTACCAGCATACAATCTTGTATTGATAAGCTGAATGATCCTGGAGACGAATGCGTTATTCCCGGTGGTCGCTACCATGAGCACGTGACCGTCAATAACAAGCATGGTACTCCCGACAAACCCATAATCATCCGGGGCCTTGAAGATGATTACCCAATCATCGATGGAACCGTTCAGCTCAAGCCCAAAGGAGGGTGGGTGAGGGATGATAGTGGTGCATACAAGGCGGTCATAGATCAGGATATCTGGCAGTTATTCGTCGATGGTCAGATGATGACCAATGCCCGCTGGCCAAACGCACTCTGGTCCGACAAAACAGTTTTCAACTCTAGCTACTGGGCGAAATCATCCAATGCGTCCACAAGGGGCGTTATGGTTGATAACGGCTCGAAGAACTTATCGGGAAGTGGCTTGAACGCCACTGGGGCCATGGCGATTCTTAACATTGGAAGCTTTAACACCTTTACAGCCACTGTTGAAAACCACACACCTGGTACTCCAGCCTTCACTTATCATGATAAATTCGGTCCCATCAAGTTTAAACCTTATATAAATCAGTATTTTCTGGAAGCTAAGTTAGAGTTTCTTGATCATCCTGAAGAATGGTTTTATGACAAAACAACGCGCACAGTTTACGTCATGACACCTAATGGCAAATCCCCCGAGGGACATGACGTCAGAGCCAAAGTGATGACGTATGCATTTAACATCACCAATTGTAGCCACGTGATTTTTCAAAAGCTAACCTTGTTTGGCACAACGCTATGGGCTTCTACTTTGAACATCAACAACAACTTTATCAACAACCTGACGTTCCATTCGCTCAACTTTAGCTACCCTTCATACACACGACGAATGCTTCAAGAGACAGCACCGGCACTGTGGACCACAGTGAGGGCAAATAACAAAAGGAAGGGGCTTAACACGCTGACGTTTTTCAACAACACTTTCTTTGGAACCGACGGAGCCGTGTTGGAGTATAGCGGGTTAAACATGACTCTTGCTAACAATTTGTTTGAGTATAACGACTGGACAGCAGCCAATATGGTGTATCAGAGTGGTGGAATAGGCACCATCATTTCCGGTGGAGTAGGCGACGTATTTATAAGAAACACGCTAAGATTTAATGGAGCTAGTAGTGGAATCAGACCTGGCCTACGACCCATAGTTCGTCTAAACCATCTTCATCATCAGTGTTGGGGACTTATACAGGTAAACGAAAACAAACTATATTCACTCTTTTAAAGACTATCGCTCAATTTGCAACTTTGATTGAAAAAAAAATAGTGTCGTGGAATAGACTCTGTCCTTATCATTTCTCGATTGTGTTTGGAGCGGCCATGAAATATTGTTTGAATGTGGAATTAAAAAGATGTTGGCTTAATCTTGGGTTTAGTTTAACCATCTTTCGAGGAAACGAGCCCTGATTGGTTGAAGCAAAATTTCCCTCGCGGCACGATCAATCAGTGACATCAGCATGGAATCTCTGCGCTCAGTTCTTCAGACGTCATTTCGCGTGAAAATCAGTGGTGACGTCGCAAAATGTCGGCTATCTTCTCAGGCTAGATTAGGGATGGTTATAGATTTACTGTAGAGAAATGAAACTGAGCGTTTTTTACCATGAATTTCTTTGCTTCACGAGGTTGTACCTAGAAAAAAATTAAACCTATTGCAGTGTTTGTAGGAAATTATTCATCTATTAATACATTGTATGCACTAAGTAAATCATTTAGAGCTATTAGTTCTTTCAAATCCGGGCGTACTTGTTGCTTTGCAGAATGACGGTAGTCACGTGCAGACAAAGATAGGACCGCAGAAGCACGCTCTGTTGGAGCAAAACTGGGTGCACTCAAGTCCCAAATATGGACTGCGGTTTGACGGGCAACCGCCCAACATTGGAAGCAATGGGAGCATGCGCAGCAATGTGGTGTGGAAATGTGGAGGAATGATGGTGAAAGGGGACAACCACACAGTTCTGCATAATCTGGTCTTTAATAAATGGAACGAAAAGAAAGGCGATCACCAAGGAGCAAAATGTGCTCTATGCGTCTTGCGATATGTGCGTAAAAACCCAGTGCCCATCAACAATGGCACGGTGGTCATGTACAATGCCGCTGATGTGGGAAACGGCGGAGTTCATGGAGGGAAGGTATACCCGCTGGCCGGACGCGTTGTCAAGTTTAATGTAATTTCAAATGTCAGCAAGCAGCTTGTTGATCCTGATAACTTTGATTTTCGTCCTTTGTCCAATTCGTCGTACCTACTGCATGGCGCTGGTCCGTATAGTTATGATCCGAAGTTGACGCGCTATTGGATTCCAGGGCGTCAACTTTACAAGGCAAGCACTCCTGTCCCCCCAAATAATGGTGTGAACGTCAAGCCTGACAGGAGGGACACTTTGATGTGGCTGAATGGTTACGGGGCTTCCGTTCATCGGGTATATTTTGGCACTAGCAGGGAGGGGGTGAGCAGAGCCACGCATGACTCACCAGAGTACCTTGGAGTGGTTGAAAACGAGAGCAACGTTTTCCATCTAAAGAGAGTTCTGGATCCCCAAACCAAGTATTTCTGGCGTGTTGATGCTGAAGTGAGCCCATCCGAGATATACAAGGGTGATGTGTGGTCTTTCACTACAGGTGAAGGCTTTCGTAGCCTGCCAAATGCGGAAATCGCTTGGAATTCAAGGCTTTTCCTTTCCTTTCAAATTACCATGACCATGTTATTGATGCTCATGATTCACTAGCGGTTTTCACGTAGCTAGTATCTTTTTTTTTTGACATTGATTTGATTTTCAGTCAAGCTTATCTTTTGATGGTATTCTGCAAAAATAGTTTAATCTAAGTGCTTGTTCAGTATTGAACAGGCTGTGTCCATAGCTACTGGACATCGACGTTAACATCACTTTGATTCACCTTAATACGTTATTTTATCAGTTTCTAGGGTGCCTTTTCAAACAAGCTTGGCTGTCATGTTTAAGTTACTATTAAGGAGATTCTTTTTCCCTAAATTTCATCTTAATTTCATCTTCATTTTACAACAGTGATTTAAAACTAGGTAGTCATTTTTCGGGGGAGGGGACGGGGTCAGGGGGGAGGGGTGTCATTATTTTTGGTTAAAATCTTTGTGTTGCCTTTGTTTACCAAATTAAAATCAGTCCTTTTTTATTCTCTGGTGGGAATTGTTCGTTCAAATATTTATATCTAATACTCTTGCTACAGGCTGCTGTTTATAACAAGTTTTACGAAAAAAACTGATTCGAAATAACGTTTAATTATTACCATCCCGCGTCATAAATTCGGGAGCACATTCCTTTCGTATTATTCTTGGGAGTCAAAAATTATTTTGTTTTTTAACTTTCCCGTATCCCGTGCCCGTTCCGAAAAATTGCGTGATTGTTATTGGCTGCAACTTCGAATCACGTGCAAGTCAGGTTGGGTTGCACAAGCAGAAAAAAGATACTGCGTCAGCAAAAGAGGGAAAAGTAAACTTACTGCGTAGAGGAGGACAAAATCCCCGGGGGGGTGTACTTTAGGAATTTCTAGGTGAGGATGTGCCGCTGGTACCCTGGAACCCTCAACCTATACCAGAGCCAGTTCAGCTGAATTTTGCTACCCTATACCAGAGTGAACTCCCCAAATCCCCCTATCCTAGAGTAGCTGTTTTCCAGAAACTACTGAGGTCACTAGCAGTCTAGCCAAAACAAAACCTTGGCCACAATCCCTAGTCTAGATAAAATCTTAACCAACTGATCAGTTTCGTGAAAAATGATACCGTATTCTAGACCCAACGCTCTGATTTATATACCCTATCCTAGAGTAAACTGCTTAAAAACCATACCCTTCACAGCGGCACATACCTATATAGCCCATATATGGCAGTACCCTTCCCCCCTTGGGAAAAAATCAGGGCTATGCTCTAACTTACGGCCCCCGGTCGCCTGAGGCGACTGAAACTATTAGGGAGTTTAAGATACGGCGACTACAGTTAAACATGCTACTGCGCATGATCAAAACCACGTGACTGTTCATTTTTCCCGCTTAGGCCTGCGGCTACGGTGAGTTGTTGAGCTGTTTCGCGTAGTCGGCACTACGGAGAACAGTTTGCTCGTATTTTGCCGTCTCGGGAATTCAAGAATCTCGTCTTTTCGTAAAAAAGTTTTCAATTCACCTGCTTTAAGTGAAAGGGAAGCGAAATATGTAAGTTGTGTCTAATTTCTGCTCAAATTTAAGCTTTTAACCAGTGTTGTGAAATAAGCATTGAGATTGACGGCCGCGGAGAAGAGAAATCATGCAGGTGATTTACTTTCTCTTCGCACTTGAAAAGTTTCAATGTTTATTCGAACTGATTAGTGTGTCTTTCTACTTGTGTAACCCTTGTGCATGCGAGTTTTTGTATCGCAATTGCTGAATGAAAATGATGTAAACATCTTCGAGACAATCGAAACTCGGCATTTCAATACGTCAAACTACATCAGATCAGTAGTCGGAGAATTCCATCTTCTAAATCTAATAAATGAACTATTACTATTTCTGTCTATTTCTTTAATATTTGACATAAGTATTCATGGGCGAAAAAGATAAAACCTGTGTAACCAAAACTTTGTTCACCAATTTCACCCGATGTAATTGCTTCCTGCAAGTATGGAAGAATTTGTTCATTTTTCTAAAGATAAGATCACATGCAAAACTGACTTGCATTTTTGTGAACTGTGATGAAAACAAGAAAATCTTTGCGTGTTGTTTCCCTCTCCGCCTCTTCTCTCGTAGTCTACTGTCTGTAGTGCAATCTTAACGTTCCATATTTGCACGACTCAACCCAGTGCTACAAACAAAGGACAACGCTCGTCCAGCCGTAGTTCGTAGTCGCGTAGTCTCCGTATCTTAAACTCCCTATTGTCCAACCGGGCGACATGCTGGTGTTGGTTTCTTGATTTAAGGTAGGTATCGCCTGCCTCTTCAGTGCGCAATTTGGGCACCTGGTTCAATTCTCATCTGGACATGTCGACTCATGTGACTAAGACTTGTGCTAGCGCGTTTTATTATTTGTACAATATCCGGCACATTAGGAAGTATTTGTCTCGTGAGTCCACCGAGAGGCTTGTTCACGCGTTCTTCACAAGCAGGCTTGACCACTGTAATGGTTTAATGTACGGTGCTCCTGAGTATCAAATTAAGAAACTTCAAAGAGTCATGAATGCTTGTGCTCGATTGGTTTACAGCGCACCTGAGTATTGTCACGTTACTCCTTTGCTAAGAGAACTCCACTGGCTACCAGTGCGCTTGCGCGTAGATTTTAAGATTCTCCTTGTTACATTTAAGATTCTTCACGGTGTTGCGCCTAGCTATCTTAATGATCTTGTCTCTGTCTTACCGGACTCACGTTACCAACTACGCCGTAACAATAATGGTATATTATTAGAAAGACCTCGGCTAAGAACGAAGAAGACTTTGGGAGATCGCACGTTATCGATGGCTGCCCCCTTTTTATGGAACAGTCTTCCTCTGCCAATATGACAGGAAACATCAATCGACTCTTTTAAACGCTCTGTTAAAACATATTTATTTAAAAGGGATTTTAGTTAGATTATTTATTTATTTATTTTTATTAATTATTGTAATTTTACCGGGTAATTTTACTGGTTTTTAATTTAGTTATTAATAATATTGTAATGCACTTTTGAGTATTTTTATAGAAAAAGCGCAATATAAGTATTAAATATTATTATTATTATTATTATTATTATTATTATTATTATTAAGACAAAAGGCTAGAATTTGTTACTGGCGACTTCGTAGCTCGCTAGGCCTCTTAGCGGCCTAAAATAAACGTTCCGCTCGCTTAGAAGGCGATCTTTGATGTTATGACGCAGGAATATTAGGGAGAGTAAAACTAGTAACCCTTAGGGTGTGGGCCTTTCGCGAGCAAAACATTCGCGACCCGAAAAAAACGCCTGCACTGCAGGCTAATTGTTTTCTATCTGCATTAAATCGACGATTGCAGAGAGCAAAACAGAATGAACTGCAACATTTTTGAAATGCCATCAACAGACGCATTATTAATAATATTGTCAGCAGGCTTATTAATATTAATAATATTTCTGTTAGCAGACAGTCAGGCTATTAAAAGTAATGCAGCATGCTTCCATTGCACCTGTGGTAGCATTGTTTCTGGCCACATTTGAGAATAATTGAGGATACTGTATTGTTTTTTGGAAGATTAGCTTTATTTGTACTTCTAGACTTTACGACAGCACGTCTGACCATTACTGTCAACGTCATTACACCGCTTATATCCTGACAGACAGGCTGAAACCAACTTTTTTCCTGACGTCGCAGAACTGACATATTTCAAGCTGCACTGACAATTTGGATAAGAGGCCAATGAGCGATGTTCCAAGTCTGAAGAAAAGAAAAGTTGTATACAACTCAGTATAATCAGCCCTCGCCGGTTACATCCTCTGGAATAAAGTTATTTTGTATCCATGAGCGAGTGAAATCTGACTGAGCTTTAAAATGCTTAGCACAATATTTTGTAAATCAGTTCTTTCTGAAGTATGTAATATGATGGTTCAATATTTGCAAATATGGACTGCACGTTTTGGAGTTATGAGATTGAATTTACCTCTTCATTTGATCATCCCCGACATAAAAATCCTAGACTATCCTGTATACCCCCTCATTGATTATAACAGAAAAATCTACCATAACTGCAATCGTTGGCAAATATTTTGCTCTTTTATTCAGTGTATGATTCCCATTTCATAAAGGCTTTTATTTACTAAGTTTTTATAAAACAAAATATCTGTGAGGACCATGGCAAATTGGAAGGGTCTCTCGGCTGTTGTTTTGAACGCTTATGATTTGACGAGTTTTGTCACAGTAAGTACAAAAGAAAGTTTGCTTCAAAACAGAGATTTTGCACATTTTTTTAAAAAAGTGGGTTATCCATATGTCAAAGTATTTTCAGTCTGAAAACCAAGAATTTCTTATGTGGGGAAGCTGAAGGTGCCGTAGAAAAATAGAAGGTTACCTAGTTCTTACCCGCACTGTTACATGAAAAACAAGCAGTGAAGCATAACCACCATCATTGGGATCAGTATAAAAAGCAAAGAATGAAGTGAATGCTAGTATCAAAGCTGCTAAAACTAAATACCTCAGTGATAGAATAAAAAATAGTAGCGGTAATAAACTATAAAAGCTCCTTAGGTGGCAAATCCAATGCAACTGTTATAAATGAATTATCCTTTGTTGGGAAAAGATTTACTGACAAACAGGCGATAGCCGATCAAAAAATAGAAAATAGATAAAACGTGAAATCTGCCTGAAAATTATATGAAGTGTTACCTTCATTAGGAATAAATGCTCTGCCCGGCTCTCTCCTCTTAAGCCATTCCATAACGGTTTCCTTCCTACGCCAGTTTCCACTAGCAAAGCCAACAATAGCTAATCCAATTAATAGAATAGCAAGACGATTCATGGTGTTTTCAGTCTAGTGATAAGAAAACATAAGTTCTGATAAATAGCCAGTTTTTAGACATAAGAAATACCATTGTAGTACCATTTCGGTTTTTACACCAAGAGTAACCGACAAATCCTTGACAATTTTAAGAAAAGCTAAATGATTAGACCATAGTTAATTGAGTGCAATGGTTATGAAACCCGTCAGACGCCTTTGTTATATGTTTTTGTGAACCTGAAAGTGCACAACGTTCAAAAGAATTCCTATCATTTTGATTGTATTGACCAATAAAAACGTTGCATTAATTTATTCCGTAACAATTTGCCAACAGAAAACAAAGGATTGTGCACTTTCACGGTGCTTTGAACATAAACTGCAGCACTGTTGTTTTTATCATTGATGTTTGCCGCTTTTCATAACCAGTCTCCTCTAATAACTATGATTAGACCTAGCAAGCATAGATTTGGCGCTTGAATGAATTACCGCTTCATTCTTATAAATTTGGACCGGTACTGCTTAATAATTTTTCTTGAAATGGTACTACAAGTTTTTTGCAATAAGTTTATAGGCATAAAAGAACCGCGCGCAGTGGTATATCCTGGTTTATCTCTCTCATCGCTTTGGTGCATTTTGCCTGTAATTTGTTATGTGCATCGAAGCTCGAACATTTTTAATTGTGTTTTTAGTCGAGCCTTGCTTAACTAAAGAAACTGAACCCTTGATCTTTGATTCCTCTTAAAAATTATCCGCAGTTCCTTTTACACGGAAAACAAAAAACCAACACTAAACCTTGATTTGCTTATTCGTTAACACCCTTGGACTTCTTCGTATATGGCAGAAAGTGCAAAACTGAAGTGGCGCGAAGTTTGCTTCGATCAATCAAGCATATCTTTTTATACTACACCAGAAACGTTTATTGCAGTTGATCTAATGATTTTTGGTTGTCTAATCTTAATAAGTAATGTAATATACTTGGTAATCATACATACATCTTACCTTAACTCTGTGTTATATGCAGTCAGTTGTAAGACACCTTTCACATCCTCCCAAGCAAGCGAGTTCAGGGTATTTCTTCCCTCCCCACAAACGCCTGCTCAACCGAGGACAACAATCCTTTCCCATTGTTATATTTGCGAGGTAAGTGACCAATCAACGGCTTTTAATAAAGTGTTGACAGGTTAAACACGACTGATAAGCTCGTGATAGTGTAAAAACGTGACCCAGAACGTGACCCTAAAGTTACCTTTTTCCTTCTTTTCTTTCCTTCGCTAAGGTTATGCAGTGCACGGAGAATTCTAAAACCTGACTGAGTAAATCTTACTTTTGCCGCTCCGAGTCTAACATTTATTAGAGGTCATGAAGGTTTCTCAAAGTTTCATGCAGATCGCGTAGTTATCGGGTTACCCTGCGGTCAGGGTCAGCTCTCCAGAGTTTGGAAAGTACAACGTGATTGGCTAAGCTTGGGAAAGGAATGTTGTCCTCGGTTGAGCAGGCGTTTGTGGGGAGGGACGAAATAGGATCTCCCCTAGCCTGCGTGGCAGGCTTTCGAAAGGGAAAGGGAAGTGAGGGCGCGAGACCGCGAGCGAGGGAGGAGGGGAGGTTCCTTTCCTTTCCCCCTCGCGCACTCTCGCGGACAAATTGCCCCTTCCCTTTCAATGCTTGCCACACAGGCTAGAGCTCCCCTAAAACGCCTGCGTGGGAGGCTACCTGAAGGACGAATGAGAGAAGTGAAGTGAAATCAATGATATACAGCTAAATGGAAAAAAAGGTTGCTTTGGTGATTGGTCATTCGTTCACATGGAACAATGCAATGATTTACTTGAGTGAGCACCAAACAATAAATTTCTAATGCCCAATTCCCAATGCCCAAAGCAACCTTTATTGAATCAGCTATAGACAGCTATTTCAAGAAACGTTGAAGGAAGAAAAGCAAAAAGCCTTTAAAGGGACAAGTTCACGGTTAAGCGAATGCTTATTAATTAAATTACTTCTTTCCAATTTATTATTCATTCTATCAGTTAAAAATCCCACTCACATGTATCTGAGCGATCTCAGAGTGTATTTCAAAGTAGAATTGTATTCAGAGTAGCCTGAAGAAGGATGAAGGAGTACTAAAATCGCCGAAAAAAATAGTGGATTATGCCAACACTAACAACGTTGAGTTTATTGTTGACCCGATGGTTTTATTCCATGGTTGATTAATTTACAGCTTTTTAATATTTAAGTTGATCAAGTGCAAGTGACTGCCAGGGGAGTGTGCAGATTGGTTCTTTGGCAACATTATGACATGATCATACTACTTGCATAGACGATACAGCATGTCCCGGCAGAAAAACAGCATTTTGATAAATGAGCATGCGCTGAACCGTGAACTTGTCCCTTTAAGCCAAGACTGAAAGATAATATGGGATTTTCATGAACTGCAGGTCCTATAGGAGTTTTGCGGCCACTCAAGTATGTTTCTGAGAACAGTATGGAACGTCTTTCTGTAAGTGAGAGTATTTCTAAGCGGTGGACAACTCTTAAAACATAGGTGGTTGGAGGGCCTTCAAACAGCAGGGAGCTTGAGAAACACGTGCATTACGCTTTTTTGTCCGTGGCCGTTGTTGTCCTACTACGGCTTGAAATGTCTTATGCTTTATAGCGGGAAGTGAACAGCAGACCACAGTTTTCCTTCTTTTTTTAACTTAAAACTAGTTCTTTAGAATAGGCCACTTCCGAGTTCCAAAAACCCTTACTTTCAAAATGAGGCTAGGGGCACAACCGTCCTTGTGAAAATGAGTTTTATTTGCATGAGAATGAAAAATGATTTCCATATCAAAGGCTGTGCACCTACCCTCGTTTTGAAACAGAGGCCCGGGGGAACTCGGAAATGGCCAATTCATTTCCGGCGAAATCGCCATCATTTAAAAAATTGAACGAGCTCGAATAAAGGCGATGTGGTTGTCCAAACATTCTCATATACTTGTGTAGTGCAAAATATTA